ACCAAACCTTTTCTCTGATATTCATGACCTCTCAAACCTCTCTCAAACAGAAATTATGAGCCAAGCTATGGCAGCTTCAGCTGTCTTTGTAAGACATCAAGAGCTGAAAGGAAGATTAAAAACTCTGTGAAATAATACCTAATTCATAATCACTCAGCACTCCCTTCTCCACTTCCCAGTAGCAAGGCTGCACTGGCCACCCAACTCACAGGCTTGCAATAAAATTTAAGCCATCTCTCTCTTTCCAATTCCTGGAGATCCAAGCTCCAAACTGCAAAAATTTGCTGAGGCCATGATATCAAGGGCCACAACAGCATTCTGATCTGCAATAGAGCTCTGCAGGAGAAGAACAGAGGAAATGGGGCAGGACACCATGGAGGAAGGGTAAGGAAGGGACTCTTAAGTTTGCAGTGAAGAGTTTAGCATCCAGCTGGGGCCATTTCTGTCTCCACCCCCCCACCCCCCGACACATACAGTCACTTTGGGGTAGAGGTTTAGGCTGGTGAATCATGAATTGTCCAGTATGTAAGTATGTTGAGATGCTTTGGAATCCAGTCCCCCATGGAAACCACCATCACAGGGGATGAAGTTAGAAAGTGAACAAAAGATGAAAATTTTTTAAAAAACTGAAATTATCAAAGATCTCAGGAGAAAGAAAACTCAAAGACCTTGAGGATAACAATAGTGAAGATATTAACAGTGCTCAACACAGTGCCTGGCACATAGTAGGCTTAATAAATGTCTATTGATTGATTGATTAACAGTAGAAGGAAGTAAGTATGGTCTCTAGGTCTAGCAAACAAGTTCGGGAATCTATGCATGAATACTGAAAAGCAAAGGAAAATCATTTGACATCTGCAGAGGACCCTACAGATTTTAAGGAGAGCATGGAACAACAACACATTCTTCCTGAGTGGTTTAGAAGAAAAATGAGAATTGTGAAAGCAGAATTTATGGCCCACAGAGCAGAAATAACTTGCAGAATAGGAAAACTTGAATTTGCAATGATGACTCACCAAAGAAACAAGGCAGTGGACAAATGATCCGGAATGCAAATACATAGAAGTGAAGGACAATCTGGAAGGGATACTGACTCATATATAGATTTTATTAGGTGGACTTTGAGGTCCATTCTAACTCTGAGATTCTACAATTCCATATATGCTTGAAACCAAAAACTAATATAAAAACAAGAAACATTAGAAGCATTATCACTCAAAACAGATATAAAGCAAGGATTACTGCTCTTTCTGCTTCTCTTTCAAAGTCTTAGGAGTATTAGAAGTAGCAACAAGGAACAAAAAAGATATGAAAAGAATAAGCATTGGCACTTTAGAAGTAAAAATATTCCCATTTCTAGATAGCATGATTGTATATTTAGGAAATCCAAGGCACTAGACTAGACAAAAAAAAATTAGAGATAATAATTGACTTAAGCAAAATAACAGCATATTATAGCTAAAAACCTAAAAAACAAAAACAAATGAACAAAAAAACACCAAACACCCCATGTGCATTTCAATATTCAATCAATGAGGTAAAGCCTCAGGGCTACAGTGTCAAAGGACAGCCTAACCAGAGGAAGGCATAAGTCAGTGGTGGACTACATAATCAGGGATGTGGCGAGGGTCTTGCCATAGGGCAGTGTTCTCTCTATTACCTACAGAAATGAGTATTTTTCTGGAAGGGAGACACAATGGAAAAGAGGGGCCATTGGGCAAGCTCTTCAAAACAGTGACAGAAACTGCTTGGAAAGGAGAGCCCAAAATGACTACCTTGGAATTTTTGATTTACAATTTAAAAAATTAGAAAAAAAAATTAAATTCCCAATTGAACACCAAATTGCAAATTCTAAAAATCAAAGGAAAGATTAATAAAATCAAAAGTAAGAAAAACATTGAAGTAATAAATAAAACTAAGAATTGGTTTTATGAAAAACTAATAAAATAAGTAAATCACTGGTTAATTTGATTTTTTTTAAAAAGAAAGAAAACTAGATTATCAAAAATGTGCCACCAATGAAGATGAAATTAAAGCAATTATTAGGAACTATTTTGCCCAATTATATGTCAATAAATCTGACAATTTAAGTGAAATAGATGAATGTTTAAGAAAACAGAAACTGTCTAGATTAACAGAAGAGGAAACAGAATATTTAAATAACCCTATCTTAGAAAAAGAAATTGAACAAGTCATCAATGAGATCCCTAAGAAAAAAATTCCCAGGGCCATATGGATTAACAAATGAATTCTACCAAATACTTAAAGGACAATTAATCCCAATCTACATAAACTAATTGGAAAAATAGGCAAAGAAGTAATCTTACCAAATTTCTTTTTATGACACAGATATGGTGCTGATACCTAAACAAGGGAGAGTCAAAACAGAGAAAGAAAATGGTACTAATTTCCCTATTAATGAATTGATTTGATCAAAATCAAATTATATTGATGAAAAAAATTAAATAAAATACTAGAAAGGAGATCACAGCAATACATCACAAAGACCATACACTATGAACAGATGGGATTTATACCAGGAATGCAAGGCTACTTCAACATTAGGAAAACTATCAGTATAATTGACCATGTCAATAACAAAAACAAAAAGCATATGATTATTTCAATATCAGAAAAGGCTTTTGACAAAATACAACAATCATTCCTACTAAGAATACTAGAAAGCATAGGAATAAACGAGTAAATGATTAGCAGCATCTATCTAAAACCATCAGGGAGTACTAACTGTAATGGTGATAAGCTAGAAGCCTTCCCAATAAGATCAAGGGTGAAGCTAAGGATGCCTACTATCACCACTGTTATTCAATATTGTACTAGAAATGTTAGTTCTATCAATAAGACAAGAAAAAGAAAAGGCAATAAGGAAACAAAACTATCACTCTTTGCAGATGATATAATGATATACTTAGAGAATCCTAAAGAATTCTAAAAACCAATTGAAACAATTAACAATTTCAGCAAACTTATAGTATATAAAATAAACCCACATAAATTATCAATATTACATTATATTACCAACAAAGTCCAGCATCAAGAGATAGAAAGAGAAATTCCATTTAAAATAACTGCAGACAATATAAAATATTTTGGAGTCTACCTGATAAGATAAGCCCAGGGATTATATGAACACAATTATAAAACATTTTTCACACAAATAAAGACAGCTCTAAACAACTGGAGAAAAATTAATTGCTCATGGGTAGGCCTCGCAATATAATAAAAATTAAAATAATTAATTTACTTATTCAAGCTACCAAAAATCATTTTAAAGAGCTAGAAAAAATAATAGCAACATTCATCTGGAAGAACAAAAGGTCAAGAATATCAAGGGAAACAATGAAAAAAAATGTGAAAGAAGATGGCTTAGCCAGATCTCAAAATGAATTATAAAGTAATAATCGTTTAAAAAAAACTAGTACTGGCTAAGAAATAATACCGGTGGATCAGTGGGATAGATTTAGATACACAACATATTAGATAGTAGTAAACAACCATAACAATCTCGTGTTTAATAAATCCAAGGATCCAAGGTTTTGGGGAAAGAACTCACTATCTGACAAAAATTGCTAAGAAAACTGGAAAGCAGTTTGGCAGAAACTAAGTATAGACCAACATCTCACATTTCATGACAAAATAAGGTCAAAATGGGTACATAATTTAGACATAAATGGTGATTTCATAAGCAAATTTGGGAACATGGAAAACTTTAACTGTCAGGTCTGTGGGTAATGGAAAAATTTATGACCAAACAAGAAATAAAAAGGATCACGTGATATAAAATGGACAATTTTGATTAAATTAAATTTAAAAGTTTTTGCACAAAAAAACTCCCAAATGCAGCCAAGAATAGAAGGAAAGCAGGAGACTTGGGGCAGGGCGAGGGGGTTGGGGCAGGGAGGGCCAGCGCAGAGGGTGATTTACAGCAAGTTTCTCTGAAAAGCCTTCATTTTTCAAATATATAGGGAACTGGATCAAATTTTTAAAAATAAGAGCCATTCCCCAATTAATAGTCAAAGGATACAAACAGGCAGTTTTCAGAAGAACAAATCAGAAGTATTTATACTCATATGAAAAAAATGCTCTAAATCATATTGATTAGAGAAATGCAAAGAAAATAACTCTGACGTGCCACCTCACACTTATTATATTGGCTAACATAATAGAAAAGGAAAATGACATATGTTGGAGGGGATGTAGAAAAATTGGGAAACTAAAGGACTGTTGGTAGAACTGTGAATTGATCCAACCATTCTAGAGAGCAATTTAGAACTATGCTCAAAGTTCTAAAAAACTGCATACCCTTTGACCTAACAATGCCACTTCTAGATCTGTATCCCAAAGAGATCAAAGGAAAATGACCTATATGTACTATATAGATATATGTGTGTGTGTGTATATATATGTATATGTATATATATCATATATATGTATATATATGTGTATGTGTGTGTGTGTGTGTGTGTGTGTGTGTGTGTGTGTATATATATATACATATATCAGCTCTTTTTGTGGTGGCAAAGAATTCAAAAATGAGGGGATGGCCATCAATTGGGGAATGGCTGAACAAGTTGTGGTATATGATTATGATGGAATATAGTTTCTTTATCTGTAGAATGCATTGGAGAAGGAAATGACAAAACACACCAGTATCTTTGCCAAGCAAAGCTCAAATGGGGTCACAAAGAGTCTAACATGAATGAAAAATGACCAAACAACAATTGTACTATAAGAAATGATAAGCAAGATGGTTTCAGAAAAACCTACGAAGACTTATATGAACTGATACACAGGGAAGTGAGCAGAACTAGAAGAACATTGCACACAGCAACAGCAATATTATACATGATCAACTGTGAATGACTTGGCCATACTGATCAATACAATGATCCAAAACATCTCCAAAGGACTTATGATGAAAAATGATATACACCACCAGAGAAAGAACTGACAGAGTCTGAATGCAGATTGAAGCACAATTTTTGAATTTTATTTTTCTTGTTGTTTTTTTTTTTGCAACATGGCTAATATATGACAGAAATGATTGTTTGGATAACCAATTATTGGGGAGATCCAGGGGTTTTTCCCTTCCTTTCTCCTCATTTTATATTGGGTCAAGTCAACATCTGAAGGACACTGCTGATAATGAGATTAGATTAACTTTCTCCTCAATCTTCTTCAGAACTCACCCAAGTGGGGAAGACCATCATGTTCTACTTAGGCTTGGGTGGCAGGTAGATCCATTATCTAGATGCACAAAGTTGGAGGTATTCTGGAAGCAAGAGTGAGCAAAGTCATGTCCGCCAGCCCCTCATTAGAATGAGTCTACCTCTTATTATGATATTCAATCTTCTCATTAATTGTTAACCAAACAGAGTTGACTGTCACCCCCAGGAATACCCACTCTTCCAAAAGCATATAAGTATTGAGTGGGTCCCATGCAGGGTCTTTGGCATTCACAAGTACCATTGACCCCTGTTATTAATTACTCACTAGCATAATTAATAAAAATTACTCACTACTCAGAAACTATGTCTCTTAAACTTTTTATATATTACATATAGAAGCATGTTTTACATGATTTCACATGTACAATTGATATCACATTTCTGGCTTATACAGTGGGTGGGGGAGAGATGAGATGGAGGGAGAGAATTCAGAATTCAAATTTTTTAAAAAATAAATGTTAACAATAAACAACAAATTTTGGGGGAAAAGAAAATGAAAAGCATGAGAAATGCTCTCTGGAAAGGGATACAAAGACAAAATTTTAAAAAAACTAATGAATAGCAGTAGTTTAAGGTGATGAAAGGAACAGGGAATCTACTGTATTACCAGAGGAAAAAAGAGGGAAAGAATTAAACAACAAGATAAAAACAGAAAATAAAAGGGAACTAATAACCAAAACTCCAAAGGCTTTTCCTTTGGAGTAATAAATGGGTGTGAGGAGAAGAGAATCATTGGAAATAGGACCAAATTTAAAAAGATTAAGCTAAAGTTAAATAAGGCAACACAATATTGTGTTTACAGTGAAAGAGAGGGAAGTATAACTTGGGGGGGGAACCACTTAATATTAGAGACAAATGGAGGAAAATGTAAACTAACTCATAATTTTAATTGTGAATGATTAAACAATCCAATAAAAAGAGAGGGACGGATTAGAAAACAAAACAAAACCCCATAATCTGTTGCTTTCAAGAAACATTTGAAAATAAAGGCATACATTAAATACAACTTAAGGACTAGAAAACATTTTTCCTATCTATGAATCCATAAACACAAGAGTTGCAACCATACTACCTGACAAAGTAAAAACAAACATTCAAAAAATAAATAAGGAAATCACATAATGTTGAAAGGAACCATAGACAACAAACCAATTTTGATATTAAATATATATGCTCTAAATGTCTTAGCATCCAAATTCATAAAGAAAACATTAACTGAACTACTACAATGTATAGACAATACTATAACAGTTATAGGAAAATTGAATGTCCCTCTCTGTTTTGAAAAAGTCTAACAGAAAGATAAGCAAAAAGAAAAAAAATACAGAGCTGTCAAACTGCTAGAGAAACTAGAGTTAAAAGACTCGTGCTTTTTCTAAATGGGATTGCAAAAGAATATACCTACCCCTTCATAGTTTTACAGAAATCGATACTGCAAACAAATGTAAAAAGGAAGTAATAGTCAATACATCCTTTATAAACCATAACACAATAAAAATAGGCATTGGTTCAAGAACCACAGTAGACACAGACCCAAATGGAGACTTAGCAGTAAAATCCTAAATAATAAGTGGGTCAAAGAATAAATCATAAAAATAATAATTATGTGAAAGAAAATTATAATAATGAAACAACATACCAAAATTCCTTAGATGCAGCTAAAGCAGTCTTCAGGGGGGAAAAATCATACCCCTATAAATATACATTAACAAAACAGAAAAGGAGAAAATTAATGAACTAAATATGCATTTTAAAAATCAGAAAGTCAACAAATAAACAAATTATGCACAAAATAGGAGCTATTAACTTAGAGGAGAAATCAGCTAGAAACAAAAAACCCCATAGATATGACAAATAAAATTAAAAGGTGATTCTTTGAAAGGACTAATAAATTTGATAAACCTTTAGTTAATCTAATTAAAAAGAAGAGAGCAGAAATCAATAAAATAGCAAATGAGCAAGGTGAAATCACAACTAACCAAAGGAAATAAAAAGAAAAATCGGAACTTATTATGCATAGTTATACATAAACAAAACTGAGAATATGAAAGAAAAAGACTATCTTCAAGAATATAAAATATCTAAACCATCAGAAAATCAGATAGAGATCTTAAATAACCCAGCCCCAGAAAAGAAAAGCACTGTGAGATAAAAACAACACTCTTGAGATAAAAACAAAACAAAACAGTAACTGACCTTAAGGAGTTATATCAAGATTTCAAACTTGGGACTTAGGTGAAATAATAATGTCACTGACAGAAATAGTGAGGTTAAGAGGAGTAACAGGTTAATAATTAAAGATAATCCCACTTTGAGACATGCTGAGTTTGAGGTGTCAACAATCTATCCAAACAGAGGTATATCAAATGTCCTAAGTTTATGTGTCTGCAATTGGATCTACCCATTCAGAACATGGCAGAGAGGAGCCATGCTCAGTCCTCAGGTTCCTAGGAAATACAGAGCTCTGGGAAAAGGTCCTGCTTATTTGTGCCTGTCTGCAGGTAGCAGGAAGAAACCAGGGAACTAGGAAAGCCAGCTATTGGTGAGAACCAGTTACACCATAAGGTGGTTAGGCTGTCCTCTGACACTGTAGCCCTGAGGCTTTACCTCATTGATTGGATATTGAAATGCACACGGGGTGTTTGGTGTTTTGGGGGTTTTTTTAGGTTTTTAGCTATAATATGCTGTTATTTTGCTTAAGTCAATTATTATCTCTAATTTTTTTTTGTCTAGTCTAATGCCTTGGATTTCCTAAATATACAATCATGCTATCTAGAAATGGGAATATTTTTACTTCTAAAGTGCCAATGCTTATTCTTTTCATATCTTTTTTGTTCCTTGTTGCTACTTCTAATACTCCTAAGACTTTGAAAGAGAAGCAGAAAGAGCAGTAATCCTTGCTTTATATCTGTTTTGAGTGATAATGCTTCTAATGTTTCTTGTTTTTATATTAGTTTTTGGTTTCAAGCATATATGGAATTGTAGAATCTCAGAGTTAGAATGGACCTCAAAGTCCACCTAATAAAATCTATATATGAGTCAGTATCCCTTTTACAACATAGCCAACAAGCACCTACAGGCTTTGCTTGAATACTTTGAATGAAAAGAAACCAACTACCTTAGGCAAGCCATTATTTACTTTCAAGGAACAACAGTAGAGACAAAAATAATAACTTCTCTAGCCAGCACATTTGTTCAGTTAGTGGAGGGAGTACACTGCAGGCCCTCCATTTTTTGTTTCTCCATCATTCCCCTTCTGATAACACTTTCCTCCAGGGTCAAAAGAAAAGTCATTGAAGCCTGAAAACCTTATTAGACTCAAGGAGCTGGAAGAGTCAGCCTAGAGATAATCTAGTCCTGCTCATTTATTTTACAAATGGAGAATCTGAGGCCCAGAGCAGGCAAGAGGCCTGTTCAGGCTCACATCAGTGAGGTCTCCTGTTTGGAGATCTTATTTTATTGTGTATTATCAGGACTTGGTGGTAGTTGGCAAGAGTTGGAAGAGAGGATGGGGAGGGAAATTGTTCATTCTACATTGCACAGACTATGTGGTTTGGTTCAATCAGAGCTTTACTCAGGCATTGATATAATCCAAAGAATTTCCTCTTTTCCTCCACAAACTCAGGTATTTAGGACCCCTTACCTTGCTTGTCCTCTTCCCTCTCTCTTCATTCATTCATTCTTTCCAAATGTTTCTGTCACTTTCCTCTGTTCAGGAGAAAAAGCAAAACTTAAAGAAATAATGAAAATGTACAAATTCTTTTTAGAATATTACAAGAGCCTTACAGAAAGCCATGCCTTGGCTATATGTCTAAAATAATTTAACATGTCTCCAAAAATAGACTAGATATATTTTGTTGTATTTATCTAAAATGTAGTAAAGGAGAGGTCAATTGAAGAATGCCAGTTGTTTAAAAAAGTGGCCTATTAAACCATCACTACCTGTAAGAAACATATCTCTGCCTTTGTCAGCAATGGGTAAATTGAATTTTTTAAAAAGTATGTGTAGAAGGCAAAATAGAAATTATAAAAATCCGCTGATCACTGCCTGAAAGACATCCCAAAATGAAAAAATCCCAGGAATATCATAGCCAAATTCCAGAGCTCACAGATCAAGGAGAAAGTATTACAAGCAGCCAAAGAGAAACAATTAAAATATCATGGAGCTATGGTCAGTATTACACAGGATTTGGCAGTTTCCACATTAAAGAACCTCAGGGCTTGGAATATGATATACCAGAAGGCAATGGAGTTGGGATTACAAACAAGAATCACCTACTCAGAAAAATTGAATATAATCTTTCGGGGGGGGGGAAATGGACATTTAATGAAATAGAGGACTTTTAAGCATTTCTAATTAAAAGACCAGAGCTGAATAAAAAAGTTGACCTCCAAATACAAGACTCAAAGGAAACATAAAAAGGCAAAAAGAGAGAGAGAGAAAACATAAGAAATTCAATAATGTTAAACTGTTTATATTTCTATATGGCAAGATAATATTTGTAAATCTTAACAACCTTATTACTATAAAAGCAATCAGAAGGAGTATATGTAGACAGGGAGTGTGGATATAAGTTGACTTTGATAAGATGATAGCCCAAAAAACAAAATAAAGGGGTGAGAAAGAAAATTACACTGGAAGAAGAAGGAGAGGGGAGACTGAATGGGGTAAATTATCCTACATAGAAGAGGCATGAAAAAGCTATCATACTGGAGGAGAAGATGAGGGGAGTGGGTGGCAGGCAAAGCTTAAACTTTACTTTCATTAAAATTGGCTGGGGAATAACATACACACTCTAACTTACCCTATAAGGAAGTAAAAAGGGGACAGGGATAAACAAAAGGTACTGATAAATGGGAGGGTATATTTGGGAAGGCAGTGATCAGAAGTAAAACACTTGTGAAGAGGGAAAGGGTGAGGGGTAAGAAAGGAGGGAATAAACAAGTAAAAAATAGCATGGAGGGAAATACACAAATAGTTATCATAACTATAAATGTGAATGAGATGAACTCATCCATAAGACAGAAGCAGATAGCAGAATAAATTAAAAAACAGAATCCTAAAATATGTTGTTTACAAGAAACACATATGAAGCAGAGAGCTACACACATGGTAAAGGTAAGGGGCTGGAGCAGAATCTATTATGCTTCAGCTGAAGCAAAGAGAGTAGGGGTAGCAATCATGATCTCAGACAAAGCAAAAGCAAAAATAAATGTAACTAAAAGAGATAAAGAAGGAAATTATATCTTGCTGAAAGATACCACAGACAATGAAGTCATATCAATACTAAACATATATGTACCAAATGGTATAGCATTTAAATTTTTGAAGAAGTTGAATGAGTTACAAGAAGAAATAGATAATAACACTATACTAGTGGAGGACCTCAACTTTCCCCCTCTTAGAACTAGATAAATCTAACCAAAAAATAAACAACGAAGAAATTAAAGAGATGCATAAAATTCTAGAAAAGTTAGATATGATAGACCTCTGGAGAAAACTGAATGGGAATAAAAAGGAATATACCTTTTCTCAGTAGTACATGACACCTACACAAAAATTGACCATCTATTAGGACATAAAAACCTCACAACCAAATGCAGAAAAACAGAAATAGTAAACATATCCTTTTCAGATCATAATGCAATAAAAATTACACATCATAAAGGGCCATGGAGAGATTAAAAATTAATTGGAAATTAAATAATCTAATCCTAAAAAACAAGTGGGTCAAAGAACAAATCATACAAACAATTGATAATTTCATTAAAGAAAATAACAACAATGAGGCAACCTACCCTGTAATATAGCCAAAGCGGTACTTAGGAGAAAATTTATATCTTTAATTGCTTACATCAATAAAACACAGAAAAAATAGATCAGTGAATTGGGCATGCAACTTAAAAACAAAACTAGAAAAAGAACAAATTAAAAATCCTCAATTAAACACCAAATTGAAAATCAAAGGAGAGATTAATAAAATTTAAAGTAAGAAAATCACTGAACTAATAAATAAAACTAGAGCTGGTTTTATGGGGGAAATGATAAAATAGAAAAACATTGGTTAATTTGATTTAAAAAAGGAAAGAAGAAAATCAAATTACTAGCATCAAAAATGAAAGGGGCATGGGGCAGCCAGGTGGCACAGTGCATAGAGCTCCAGCCTTGGAGTCAGGAGTTCCTGAGTTCAAATCTGGCCTCAGACACTTGACACTTAACTAGCTGTGTGACCCTGGGCAAGTCACTTAACCCCAATTGCCTCACCAAAAAGCAAAAAAAAAAAAAATGAAAGGGGCAAATTCACCACCAATGAAGAGGAAATTAAGATAATTGTTAAGAGCTATTTTGCCCAATTATATGCCAATAAATTTGACAATATAAATGAAATAGATGAATGTCTACAAAAATATAAATTACCCAGATTAATAGAAGAAGAAATAAAATACTTAACCCAATTTTAGAAAAGAAATTGAACAAGCCATCAATGAGCTTCCTAAGAAAAAATTCCTAGGAACAGATGGATTCACAAGTGAATTCTACCAAACATTTAAAGAAGAATTAATCCCAATACTATATGAACTACTTGGAAAAACAGGTGAAGAAGGAGTCCTACCAAATTCCTTTTACGACATAAATATGGTGCTGATACCCAAACCAGGAAAAGACAAAATAGAGAAAGAAAATTATAGACCAATTTCCCTAATGAATATAGATGCAAAAATTTTGAAGAAAATACTAGCAAAGAGATTACAACATTACATTACAAGGATCATAAACTATGACCACGTAAGATTTATGCCAGGAATGCAGGGCTGGTTCAATATTAGGAAAACTATCAGCATAAATGACCATATCAATAACAAACCCAAAAGAAATCATGATTATCTCAACAGATGCAGAAAAAGCCTTTAACAAAATACAGCACCAATTCCTATTAAAAATACTAGAGAGCATAGGAAAAAATGGAGCTTACCTTAAAATGCTAAGCAATATTTATTTAAAACTATCGGCAAGCATTATCTGTAATGAGGATAAGTTAGAAGCCTTCCCAATACAATTGGGGTGAAGCAAAGATGCTTATTACCACCTCTATTATTTAATATTGTACTAGAAATATTAGCTATAGCAATAAAAGAAGAAAAAGAAATTAAAGGAATTAGAACAGGCAATGAGTAAACAAAACTATTCCTCTTTGCAGATGGTATGATGTTATATTTTTAAAATCCTAGAGAATTAACTAAAAAACTACTTGAAATTAACAACCTTAACAAAATTGCAGGATACAAAATAAACCCACATAAGTCATCAGTATTCCTGTATATTACCAATAAAGTCCAGCAGCAAAGGATAGAAAAAGAAATTCCATTTAAAATAACTGTAGATAATATTAAATACTTAGGAGTCTACATGCCAAGACAAACCCAAGAACTATATGAACACAACAATAAAACACTTTTCACACAAATAAATTCAGATCTAAACAATTGGAAAAATATTAATTGCTCATGGGTGGGCCATGCCAACATAATAAAAATGACCTACTTAAATTAATTTATTTCTTTAGTGCTATATCAATCAGTCTGTCAAAAAATATTTTATAGAGCTAGAAAAAGATAATAAAATTCATCTGGAAGAATAAAAGCTTAAGGATATAAAGGGAATCAATGAAAAAAATGGAAAAGAAGGTGGCTTAGCAATTCCAGATCTCAAACTATATTATAAAGTGGTAATCATAGAAACAATCTGGTACTGGCTAAGAAATAGAGTGGTGGATCAGTGTAATAGATTAGGTACAAATTATATTATAGTAAATGACTATAGTAATCTACTGTTTGATAAACCCAAAGATCCCAGCTTCTGGGATAAGAACTTACTATTTGACAAAACCTGCTGGGAAAACTGGAAAATAGTATGGCAGAAACTAAGTATAGACCAACATCTCACACTGAAAACCAAGACAAGGTCAAAATGGGTACATGATTTACACATAAAGGATGATACCAAAAGCAAATTAAGAGAGCATAGAATAGTTTATCTGTCAGATTTGTGTATAAGAGAAGAATTTAGCACTAAAGAAGATGTAGAGAGCATTTTAAAATGTAAAATAGATAATTTTGATTTTATAAAATTTAAAAGGTTTTGCACAAACAAAACTGTGTAACCAAAATTATAAGGAAAATGGGAAAATGGGGGAAAGTTTTTGCAATATGTATCTCTGATAAAGACCTCATTTCTCAAATATATAAAAAACTGAGTCAAATTTATAAAAATATAAGTCATTCTCCAATTGAAAAATGATTAAAGGATATGAACAAGCAGTTTTCAAAGAAATTAAAGCTATCTATAGTCATATGAAAAAATGCTCTAAATCACTATTAATCAGAGAAAGGCAAATTAGAACAACTCTGAGGTACTACCTCACACTTATCGGAGTGGCTAGTATGACAAAAAAGGAAAATGATGGATGTTGGAGTGGGTGTGGGAAAACTGGGACACTAGTACACTATTGGTGGAGTTGTGAACTGATCCAACCATTCTGGAGAGCAATTTGGAACTATGCCAAAGGGCTATAAAACTGTGCATACCCTTTGATCCAGCAGTCCCATTGCTAGGTCTATATCCCAAAAACATTTAAAAAAGGGGGGGGGGAGGATCTATATGTACAAAAATATTTATAGCACTTTTTGTGGTGGCTAAGAATTGGAAATCAAAGGGATGCCCATCAGTTGGGGAATGGCTAAATAAGCTAAATAAATGGTATATGACTGTAATTTACATGAACTGACCCATAGTGAACAGAACCAGGAGAATGTTGCACACGGTAACAGCAATATTGTTCAATGAAGAACTGTGAATGACTTAGCTATTCTCAGCAATACAATGATCCAAGACAATTCCAAAGGACTAATGAAGTATAATATCTGCCTCCAGAAAAAGAACTGATATTGACTGAATACAGACGGAAGCATGCTATTTTTCACTTTCTTTCATTTTTTATTTTATTTGAATCTTCTTGTACAAAATGACTAATATGGAAATGTTTTATATAATTGCACACGTAAAGAAATAAAAAGTATGCATGAATATAAATTAAGAATTTAAACATGACTGAGAGATATGTATATGTATATATTTTAAAACTCCCTTCGCAGGGAGTTTTTATTAAATTTACAAATAGCCCAACATGTTTTAAAGTTTCTAATTTAATTTACCAATTTCACCTCTGAGAAATTAGCACAAGGCTTCTCCTAACAAAAAGATATCTTTAAATTCTGATATCCTTTAAACCAGCTGGCAGAAGCAAGTACCTTTTCTATTTACCAAGATTCTCTTTCCTGGGTTGAAAACATGACAGATGTTTGTGTGATGAGTCTGAATGACGCATTCTTCCTCTGTAAAAAATAAAAATAAAGTGAACATTTTTTCATTAGCTGGAGAAAGCCCAAAGAGAGACTGACAGCTGATATAACGTCATCCGTTTTGCAGCCTGGAACACAGAGTGACTGGTGCTGGGCAATCGTGACTATTTATAGAATTGTTAATTCGCAAGTCTCTTTTGACAAAGCTGGCACTGAACACAAATTCATGAGGGCAGACGAAAACTTCTTCATCTTAGCACTAGGTCTGTCCGTTGATAAGCATTTGCTAAACACCTGCTCTTTGCTGAGATCTTACTCTGGGGCCACATTTTAAGAGGGACATTAATAAGCTGAAACTGGTCCAAAAGAAAGGGACCAGTTTGGAAGCATGCTATGCTAACTGGATCCATGGAAGGAAATGAGGATATTTAGCTAGGAAAAGAGAAGGCTTGGGAGAACATGATAACTGGTTTCAAGTATTTAAAGGGTTGTCACATGGAAGAAGCATTAGACTTAATCTGTTTGCCCAGAGAGTAGAGAAGAACTAGGACTAATGGGTAAAGAAGTTACTAGGAGGCAAATTTTGGCTCAGTATAAGGAAGAATTCCCTAATGATTACAATTAATCAAAAATGAGTTCTCCATCACCAGACATTTTCATATATAAGCTAGATAGTCACTTGTTAGAGGAGATGTCATGCTTTTTGCTTATTCTTTGTATTTCCAGTGCTTAGCACAATGCCTGTAACATAGTAAGAACCTACTAAATGCCTCTTGACTGATTAATGCTTAAAATAGGAATGGAGGAAATAACCCCTAAGGTCCTTTCCAACCTTAACATTAAATGATTCTATGAATGCAGAAGAAAGTAAAGGGTTAGTCCTGGTTTTTAAGGAACAGTACAGTCAAGTTGCTCCTAACACTTTGCTTCCATTATAAAAAAGATAGCATGAATTTTGAAAGACAAAACTAGAGAGTAACATAGGATGCTGTGTACTACAAAGAATACTAAAATTGGATACAAGAGAGACCTGGGTTTAAATCCTTAGCTAAGGCCAAGTCCCTTAATTTCTAGGAGCCTCTAGGACCTTACAATCCACCAATACCCCTCAGATCTTTTTTTCAAAACACTTATTGTCTAACCATATCTTCCATCATCTTACACATGTGAAGATGATACATATATGCACACACACACACACATACATGAAATAAGGTAGCTTGGCTAGATGACCTCTAAGATCCCTCTAGTTCTTCCACTCCAGGGATCTAGCTCTGATGGAGGCCAAGGGGTGGGGGTGAGAAGGAGGGATATATGTGGCTGAGGCTAATCACATTTGTGTAAACTTCCTTACTCCCAATACTTTTGTATATGTGAAATCTGGCTAAAAAGATCTTTCAAAACAGCCTTGAAAAGAAAAAAGAGGAAGAAAGGTTATAAAAGGCAAATATGCAACTGGAAGGGAATTCATAGGAGGGAGGGAGAGGGAGAGAGACAGACAGACAGAGAGAAGGCAGGGGGGTAAGACAACCAAGTGGTGCTGATTGTATGTATTTGTATATCTGGTCTTTACTTAGCACCAGCTGGTGCTGAGCAGGCAAAGAACATCAGAGGCTCCAATCTCCTTACAAAATCCTTATAAGTAACTCTGCTTATAAGTGACACTGCTCAACTAAATTGATCATAGCTCCTAGGACAACCATGTGTCCCAACTGTAAGAGCACATGGAACCATCCCCAGATCCCTTTGTTATGGGCAGTGCAGGAACAAAGACAGTACCTGCTTGCCATCTCGTCCCTCCTTCTCCTCAATTAAAACAGTGTGGGATAGGGTGAAAAGGCTCTGGGGTTAAAAGATCTTCATTACAATTTGTCATTTCACTCTCTGGGCCTCAGTTTCTTTATTTGTAAAAGGAGAGGTTTGAACTAGATGATCACTAACCTATAAATCTGTTATCTTATTGATCCTTTGACCTCTCTATAGAGGAGTTTCCTCTTCTGTAAAATGGGGATAATAATAGCTCATTAAATTATTATGAAATTGAAGTACTTTGCTAAATTTAAAGTACTATATAAGTAATTATTTTTCTCCTCTGACTCTCCCCAATTCCCCACCTGGGCTGTCTCCCTGATTTATTCCATCTATCTTCACCCAAAGCAATAGTTTGTTTGGCAATAGGCTGAAGGAGGGAGCAACAAACTGATGGAAATCATTCTGCTTTGCTCTGTATCCTGGGACAGAAGCAGGAGCATGCTGGAGCCAGCTCACACCCGCTCATCAGAGACAACTATTAAATTTTCAGAAAATGCCACAAATCAGGCCTTGACTTACTGTTTTACTGATTGCCTAGACTTAACAAAGTGATGGAGAAAATATTAATAATGTGCACTAAACTTAAAAGTACGTCAGGTATACATTTCGTTTTGAAAGAACTGCTTGTTAAACATTTATTGGTGCACCCCTGGATAGAGAGATTGTGGGAATCAGTATTTATAAGGTCTTGTTGATCTACACCAAAATGTTTACAGTGCTGAGCACATGGAATTTGGATGATTAGATTAACACATTAACTCCTCAGGCTCACACTGCCTCCCATCTCTACTGTCATTAAGTAGGAGACTAACACATTAACATAACTTTTGATTGACTGAAACAGATGAAACGATGTGTCTAACTAGATTGCAACAAAATCAGTTTTGATTCAAGCTCTTAAGAACCATGAAAAGGAACCATCCTTGAAGGGCCATTTTGTCACATACCTTGGAGTACCCCAAGCATAACAGGTCCTAGGACAGGTATTCTTGTTTTAGATTCATAAAGCCACAGAGGCACTCAAAAGACCATTTAATTTAGGCTATTGACTATATATGCATGTGTGTATACACACATATGTAATACATGTGTATACACAGTCATGGATAGATACATAGACACGTATATGTATGTATACGTACATACACACACATTAACTCTTAGAGTCATACTGCCTCACATCTCTACTGTCATTAAGTAGATGGCCAACAATGTATCATCCAACTCAGAAACAAATGAACTTCTAAGCTACTGAAAGAGGTATACAAGTATGTTGTGTGTGTGTGTGTGTGTGTGTGTGTGTGTATACACACATCCATATGCTGGGTGTGCTGGAGCCAGCTCACACTGGCTCCTAAGAAGATGATTGTAAAATTTTCATTGTAAAATTTATCCCTCTGACTTTAGCAAATTCTATAAATCAGGGCTCGATTGATTGTTTTGTTGATTGTCCACACTTAGCAAGGTGATGGAGGAAATAGCCCACTGTAGCAGCTGAGCTCAAACTATCCAGCGGCCTCAGCCTCCCCAGCAACAGGGGTGACAGACATGGGGCACCATGATGATTCACTGTCACTAGAATACCAAGCGTTCTTGACTCCCAGGCCAGCGCTTATTCTGCTAGATCATATCTATTCCTTTCTATTCCTGGCTCCAAATTCAGCATCTCCTATTCTCAACTTAAGAAGAAAACATCACTGTAGATGCAAATTTAGCTTAGCTGCACACAATCATGGTGCTCACGACTTGTTTGTTATTTCTGTACATTAGTCTCACTAATCTAGATAATTGGCTAGATGATCAGTCAAAGTGAAGTAAGTCTGAATATAAAATATAATTTTATTAGCTTCATAGAGTCATAGAATGTGAGAGCTCAGAAGCCATCTAGCTTACCCCATCCATGAAAAGAATCCCCGCTATAACAAACCCAATAAGTAGTCATCTCTGCTTGAAGACCTCAAAGAGGCAGAATACAACACCTCTCAATGCAGCCTATTCTGCTTTTGGAGAGTTAGAAAGGGTTTCCTGACATCGAGGCTAAATTGCCTCTTTGCAAATTCTATCTGTTCTTCCTGGTTCTGCCCTCTGGGCCAAACAGAAAAAATCTAATCCCTCCTCCAAGTAGGAGCCCTTCAAACACCTGAAGACAAGCATCATGTACCCCTTAAGTCTTCTCTTCTCCAAACTAAACATCCTCAGGTCCTTTCACCATTCCTCATATAACCTATTCTCAAGCCCCATTACCATCCTGGTTGCCTTTCTCTGGACATTCTCTTAAACTATGACACCCAGAACTGAACATGGAATTCCAGATGAAGTCTGACAAGGAAAGTACAGTAGGATAACCTTGTCCCCATTCCCGTCCTTCCAAGGTCTCATTAGGTCTTTTGGGCTGCCTCGTCACATTGCTGACATATTAAGCTTACAATCCACTAAAACCTCTCAGATCCTTTTTTCAGAACACTTATTGTCTAACCATTCCTTTCCTTCCACCATCTTACACATGTGAAGGTGATATATATACACATACATATATATACATATATGCACAGACGTACATATATATATGTATATATACACATACACATATATACACACACATATAAAAATATATATAGTACCCCGGTGTTGCAACTGTATTTTTAATTCAGCAACATCAATTGAGGGAAAGTAGTGAAATGGGAAATCAGAATCAGAAAACCTTACTTTTGGTCCTGGCAACTTGCTTTATGACCTTGTGCAAGTTAGCCTCTCCAGGCCTCATCTCTCTCTCACTCCTCTGATCACAACCCTACATTGGCTCCTTGTTGCCTACCAATTAAAGATCAAACTCCTTTGCTTCACAGTTAAGTCCCTGCAGTGCCAGTTGAGTTTCTGAGTTCATCTTAGAGTACCTAGGTCTCCACACAGTCTTCACTCCACTCAAACTAGACCATTCACTGTAACCTTTCCATTCTCATCACTTTTCCGCCTTTGTAACTTTGTCCATGTTGTTCTCTATGCCTAATGTTCCCTCACCTTTCATTGAATTCCTACCAATTCTTTTTTTTTTTTGGTTGGGCACTGGGGGTTAAGTGACTTGCCCCGGGTCACACAGCTAGTAAGTGTCATACGCCTAAGGCCAGATTTGAACTCAGATCCTCCTGACTCCAGGGCCAATGCTCTATCCACTGGGCCACCTAGCTGCCCCCCTACCAATTCTTTAAAGCCTGATTCAACAC